GGCCAGAGCTCAGCGTGGCGGGTGTGGAGGGAGCGTCTGGTCTGGATTAAAGCTGGAGAGGGAGGAGGGAGGAGGGAAGGGAAGAAGGGGGAGACCAGGAGTGGGAGGGAGAAAAGGATGGAGCCTCAGGCAGCCTCACGGTCCAGCCACAGTGTGGGACGGGGATTGACCAGGAGGAGGTACGGGATGCCCTCCCTCTCTTGCCACTCCTGCCCTAGTTTGCAGTTTGCCACAGTGATTTTAAAGGCAGCATCAGAAGCCGGAGACCAAACCCTCCGGCCTCAAACCTGACTCCTTTAGCTGGGGGTGGGGGATGAAAATCAAATTTGGGGCAGAGAAAAGAGCCAAGGCCATGGGGCTATTAGGAGACCTTTGCTGCTGCAGACCGTGCCAGCAGAAGATGCCATGGGCAGGCAGGGGTGTGGTGCGGAGGGGGAACAGTTATTCCCAGCCAGTCTCGGACCTACCTCTGAGAAATCTCGGTGGGTCGGTTGGGAGAAGGGTAAAGGGGAGAGGTCTGAGCCTTCCCTAGAAAGGAGGCTTGTGGAGAGCGGAAAGGCAGGCAGAAGGCAGGGGAGCAGAGTGGCCAGAAGTCGAAGTGGGTGGAGAGAGGGTGAATAGGGGTCAGTAGGACAGACACGGTGGGAGGACGCGGCAGGGCACAGACTCCAGGGGTGCCTACCTTGGCTCTTCGGGGTCTGGAGCTGGGGCTTCCAGGAGGAGCCTTGACGTTGCACATGGGACCTTGGCCGCTGGCAGGACTCTTCCGGCGTAGGATGTGAGCCCCAGGACCCCCAGCGGAGTTAGGGGTGCCTCCCTCCAGGGGCTGGAGGTGGAGTTCAGCCCCCCGATACTGTAACACCCCTAACAAGGCTCCCCCATCCCAGTGCAGCGATGCCACTGACTCCGGGTCTCCATTGATGGTACCAGTCAGGTAGGTGCCAGGCTCTGCTCCTCCCAGCAGCTCAGGCGCCTGGCCCAGGTACTGTACTGTCAGCCCCTCGACCTGCACGCCGGAGTCCTGATCCAGCTCTAGTAGCAGCGTCTCCCCAAAGGCCTGCAAGCGGCACAACAGTCTGGCAGGGGCGCCTGAGCCAGGCAGGACGCTGCCGTTGAGCTTCTCTGGAAACACGATCTCCTCCTCTCGGGGGAGGGGGCTGGCCAGCCGGGCTGAGGGCAGGAGAGAGGCCAGCAGTAGCAGAAGCGGCCACACCAGCCCGGAGAGCGGCACAATGGGGAGCTGGAGGCAGGGTTGGGTTCCCCACAGCCAGCGCCCCGCCAAGCCCCTCCGGGGATGTGAGCCTGTCTGGGACATGGCACTGGTACTGCTGCTGCTGGGAGGGACTGAGGCCGTCTGGGGCACCAAGTCCTCCACACCCGAGCTTTGGAAAGCTCTCCTCTGTAGCCTGGGGGCTTGGACTCCTGCCAAGGTCAGAGGCAAAGTTTTCAGAAGGGCTGGGGACCTTTAGAGGAAATGGAGAAAACCTAGTCCTCGGGCTTAGGAGAGGTGCCCAGGGGTCGGGCTTCTCCAAACTCTCCTCTTGAGCTCTCCTTTCCTGGATCTTTGTCTCTCCCTGCCTGTGTCTTCTGCAGCTTCTCTGGGCTCTCCCTCTGTAGGACTCTGTCTGGGCCGCTTCTGTGCCTGTCCTGTCTCTGCCTTCTTCCGCCGTGCCTTTGTCTCTGTCTCTGTCCTCCTCTGTCTCTCTCGTGCCTGCCTATGTGTCTGTGGGTCTCCCTGTGGGTTCTCCCCAGCCTCTCTCCGCGCCAGCTCTTTTAAGCAAGTGAGCTTCTGCGATTGGCTGATCGCTAAGCCACTCAGCTGAGCTCTGTCGGTGGGACTCAGAGGGGTGTATCATCGCTTCCCAAAATCCTAGTTTTTGTTTTCCTTTAAAAAAAGAAATGGGACTTGCCCAGAGGAGGGGAATCTCTAGCAGCCGAATGGATGTAGGCACTGGGCCAGCTGATGACATAGCCTTTTCCCAAACCCCACAATCAGCCCTCAGCTGCCTCTTTTCCTTTTTGGTGGGACAGAGCCCCAGGAGAGGCAGAGAGTGAGGGAAAGGGCCTGGACGGCACGCACAGATAGGATCACGGTCCTGGGAGAATTCCTGCTCTTACAGCTTAACCTAGCTTGGCCTCTCTTTTCTCAAGACTTCCTCATGCTGCCCTTTGGCCCTAATGGCTGGTTTCCAGGATTGAGGGGACTGAGTGAGCTGCCTGAGAAAACAGGGTAGGGAACAGGTAAGGCAGCATCAAGAGGGAAGAACAAAGAAAAGAGGTAGCTTGACACGGCTCAGGATAGAACTGAGCAGCTGGGAAGAGTGAAAGAGGCAGAGCAATGAGGGGAGGCAAGGAGACAGCGATCGGGGAGTTTACTGCCCAAAGGGAGGATGATCCAGCTTGGAATGAACATACGGAGGCAGCAGATGACAAGGCAAGCGGGGGTTAACGACTCTTCCTTTTATAGAAGGCAGATCCAGGGTGGCACCTCCGCTTTCTCTCTGCCTCTCTTTCTTTTTCAGAGTTTCACTCTTGTTTCCCAGACTGGAGTGTAATGGCTTGATCTCGGCTCACCACAACCTCCGCCTCCCGGGTTCAAGTCATTCTCCTGCCTCAGCCTCCCAGAGTAGCTGGGCTTACAGGCATGCGCCACCACACCCGGCTAATTTTGTATTTTTAGTAGAGACAGGGTTTCTCCATGTTGGTCAGGCTGGCCTCTAACTCCCGACCTCAGGTGATCTGCCCACCTTGGCCTCCCAAAGTGCGGGATTACAGGGGTGAGCCATGGTGCCCTGTGCAGGCCAGCACCTCCTCTTTTCTAACGTCTCTTCTTTCCCTTAGGCTCTCCCTTCCTGAGTTAACACTACCCACCCCCTCCAAGGCCCGGAACAGCTATTCCACCTCCATTTCCCCCCAGGGTTCCCCTCCCCACTTCCTGACTCCCCATTTCCCTGGCCCAGCTCCCAGTAGCTTCCCCTAGGCTCTTGGCCCTGCTCCTACCCACTCCCAACTGCCCTAAACCCTCCCCCAGCCTCAAGTCAGATAGCCCCAGCATAGGCAAGAGTTGCTCTCAGGAACCCAGATTCACCCAGGATCAGTCTGGGGGAATCCCCACCTGGCTCGCAGGGCCCACCCCACCTTGCCTTGAGAACCCAATGGTTCCTGGAATACCTAGTAATCTTTCTTTTTCCTTCTCCCTGGGGCAGGGAGAGGGTGGAAGCAGCATTGTGCATATAGGGAAATTAGGGTACTGGGAGAAATCCATTGCCTGGGGTGGGGAGAACCGCTGGGGAAAATTATTCCTTTGGCTTTGGATAGAAGGGAACTCAGAAAAGAGGTCTTGGGTGTGATCTCTCAAGGCAAGGAAGGGTTCAGAAGTAGGGGCAATTTCTGCTCACTCCATCCTCTGGCTGCTTGTTTCCCCAGGAAATCCCCAGGAAGGAGAATGCAGTCAGCCGTCCCTTTCCTTTCCCAGAAGTGGACCACCTTCTCCTGCCCCTAGTCCCCTATTGACTCTGCTTTGTCACCTCCTGTCCCCGGCATATCGCATATTGATATCCGTCAGAATGCTTCCTCTCCCCCTTCCTTCCTGCTCAGATTGGTAATACCTGCCCTGGTGCCTATCACTTCCTGGATCACCCACCCTCTCCTTGTGACTGCCAGACCCACCTCTTGACCCACCACTTGCCTGCCCCTGGTCCTAAGCCAATGGGCTGGGGCTAGAGGAGTCAGACAAGGGATGGGAGACCAGAAGGGGCAGGGGCAAGAGGAGCTATCACCAGAGGACTCTACTGCCCCTTTCCACTCCCCCATTTGAGATGAGGACAAAGGGGGTGACTAAGCAGTGAAAGACAAAGGGCTTTAGAGCGGCTGCAGCAGCGTGTGTGGGGGTGTTGGCAGCAGGGAGAAGGCACAAAAGCTGCAGTGTCCTAGGCAGCCCCTCAAGAGCCCCCACCCCAGTCCTAGCTCAAGCTGCCACCAGAGCCAAGCTGCCCAGAGTCTATCTGACTTCTCCCAGGCTGGATCAAGGCAAATAAATGCAGTCCTTCCCATCCCCCACCACCATGGCCACATTTGCTGTGTTTCAACAATAGACAGAAAGAAGGCCCAGGGAAAGAGCGAGGAATGAGGAGGGTAGAGGGACCAAACCTCTGCCCTGGCTCCGTGGCAGCTGCCTTGTCTAACTACCCCAGGTCCTGGTCAGTTCCCACAGCCAAGGATCTGGCCCCACCCTTTGGTACTGTTCCCATTAGGTCAATTCCCAGGCCAGAAGTCTGGCTTCCCCTCTTTTTCTGCAGCGAAGAATTCCTGCCTCCTGGTCTGTCTGCCCCACCCTGCTGCGCTGCTGGTGGGCTGTGTCCCAGGGATCCTGTCTAGGGGATAACTGGGGAAGGCCTCTTCTTTCCAGGCTCAGAGTTGGAGGGTTGTACAAACTCAAGGAGTGGGTGGCCCAGCTGGAGTCAGGCTTAGAGGGAGAGGGAGAAAACAGCAACGAGCCTCTAAGGCTGGAAAAGTCTTTGTCCATACAGAATTGGGATCAGACTCCTGGTGCTACTACATTTCCATGCTGTTGGCCATTACTCAGGAGGACTAAGGCAGGGTCAGAAAGACGTTAGGGAAAAGAGGCTGACGCAAGACGGAAGTGGGGTGTGAGGCATCTCTAAGGGCCCTTCCTGGGTCTGTGATCCTGCAGTGGGTTCGGGAAGCCTGGCGGATGTCAGGGTCACCCACCGAGGACCTCTACTGCCCCGTCTGGGATGAGGTGGCTCCTGCACATCCCCTCCGCACCACCAATGCCAGGGCCAAATAGGCCCTGGCATCCTATTTGGCGGGAGCCCTCAGACCCGCCCAGCTCCACTTAGTTCCTTTCTCCAATCTCAGTTTAGGACATCTGGAAATTAGCTGGCTTTCCTGACTCGGATCTTTTGCATTCAGGACTCAGACACAATCCGAGAGCAGGACTAAAGCGGGAGGGCGGCCAAGGCGGAAGGGACTAGGGAAGAATGCGCCGCGCGTTTCCAAGATACGCAGGCAGCCTCGGCGAGAAAGCATAAAGTATTTGCCCCTCCCTGGAATGGCAATTTTCCCTTACTAGCTTCTGGAAAAGCCAGCCAGGAGCTGTGGGAGGAACCGCCCTCAGTAAAGATGACGACAATCACCGTTATCTAAACGCAAGTGAAGCCAAAGCACAGGACCCGGATGTTGTCAGGTAGCCGGTAGGCGACCCTGCCAGCTTCCAAGAGGGCGGCTTCGCTGTGCGAATAGGTGAGAAGGCAACAAGGAGGCGCTCAGGAGTCACTTCCGCCCGGTTCTCCTTCGCGCAATCTGCAGCCGGAGTAAGATGGCGGTGCTGAGGGCTCTGTGCAGCCTCCGCGGCGTCGCGGCCCAGGTGCTGCGGCCTGGGGCTGGAATCCGACTGCCGATTCAGCCCAGCAGGTGAGATCGAGGGCAGCCCGCGACGCACTTTATCCAAGGCTAGGGTTTCTCAGGTTGGGGACGCTCCATGGGCCTTGTGACTTCCCCCAGAAAATAACCCAGGCCTGTGACCCCATCATCCAGCCCTGATTTCTTGGGCTACAGGATGCAGTGGCGCCCACTCTGGCGAAGGAGGGGAGAGGGTCTAGAGTTCATTCGACCGGAGGTGAAATCAGCGGAGTGGGAGACTGCCTTTTAGCCTCAGTAATCTGTATGCACCTTTCCTGTCATTCCTGAGTAGAGCTCAGGCAAAGACCCAGAATGCTCGCTGTCTCTCTGTTGTTGACCTTGAATAAACACTTTTCTCAAGTTCATATTCACCTGGTTGAGTATATCAATGTGATGAAAATATGAAGAGGCTAGGACCCAACCTTGCATGCCCGGGGGTGATGGGTGAAGTTATTCTAGGAATAAATAAATAGTAGGAATGGAACCTCTAGAGTTCCGGCTTATTTTGGCCAAAGCTACATTAACTTCAGATCAGTGACTTGGCATTAAAAAATACAGGACATTGGCCAGGCTCGGTAGCTCATGCCTGTAATCCCAATTTGGGAGGCTGAGGTGGGTGGATCACCTGAGGTCGGGAGTTCGAGACCTGCATGACCAACATGGAGAAACCTCATCTTTACTAAAAAAAACAAAATTAGCCAGGTGTGGTGGTACATGCCTGTAATCCCAACTACTTGGGAGGCTGAGGCAGAAGAATTGCTTGAGCCCCGGGAGGCAGAGGTTGCGGTGAGCCAAGATTCTGCCATTGCACTCTAGCCTGGGCAAGAAGAGCGAAACTGTCTAAAAAAAAAAAAAAAAAAAAAAAAAAAAAAAAAAATCCAGGACGTCCTTCCTGGGTCCCCGTGAGAGTGACTGGGAACACAGGAACCAAGCACTGTTCAGGACCTTGTCTAGGATCTGCCTTTAACTCCCCAGAGGTGTTCGGCAGTGGCAGCCAGATGTGGAATACGCACTGCAGTTTAGGGGAGCTGTTATGTACCCAACCGAAGAATCCCAGTGGAAGCCTCCACCTTGGAATGGTAAGTGACCAGAGTTGCTGTCCCAACCCACACCCACCCCTGCCCCCAGCTAATTTCCTTTTTTTTTTTTTTTTTTTTTTTTAAAGACAGGGTCTCCCTCTGTCTCCCTGGCTGGAGTGCAGTAGTGGAAAAGTGGCTCACTGTAGCTTTGAACTTAGGGGCTCACAGCAACCTTCTGTCTCAGCCTCCCCAGAAGGCCGGGACAACAGGCCTGTGCCACCACAACTAGCTAATTTTGAAAGTTTTCCTTTGTAGAGACAGGGTCTTGCTATGTTGACCAGGCTAATTTCAAACTCCTAGGCTCAGGCGATCCTCCCTTCTCAGCCTCCCAAAGTGCTGAGATACAGGCTTGAGCCGCCATGCCCAGCCTCCAGCTGATTTCTAAGTGCTCTTGAGCTGTCTTGGGCAATTTTAGTCCCTATTCGTTTGCTTCTTTCACCATGAAATTCACAAACATGATAGTGATAATAACAGGTATTTGTTAAGTAGAGAAAGAAGGAAAGGATGTTGTAGAAGAAAAGGAAGAATAGGTCCCAGTCAGTACCCAAAAGACCCTACCAATTTAAATCTTAGTGCTAGCTTTTTCCATGTTCAATACGTTTCAGGTTCAATACCTTATCTCCCTCTCCAGACAAAGTGGCGGTTTTCCCATTGGTACCCCAAGGAAACCTACGTGAATACAAACCATTTTTTCCCCTATCAAAACTAGCTCTTTCTTTTGACTTTTCTTTCTTTCTTTTTTTGAAGATGGGGTTTCACCATGTGCTCAGGCTGGTCTTGAACTCCCAACCTCAGGTGATCAGCCCGCCTTGGCCTCCAAAGTGCTTGGATTACAGGCGTGAGCCACCCCGCCTGGCCCCTTTGACTTTTCATTTTGATCAGTGGTACCCTCATTCCCCAATCCCTCAGGATTGAAAGTTTTTTTTTTTTTTTTTTGAGATGGAGTCTTGCTCTGTCACCCAAGCCAGAATACAGTGGCAAGCTAGAATACAGTGGTGCGATCTTGGCTTGCTGCAATCTCTGCCTCCTGGGTTCAAGCAATTCTCCTGCCTCAGCCTCCCAAGTAGCTGGGATTACAGACGCCTGCCATAACGCCCAGCTAATTTTTGTATTTGTAGTAGAGACAGAGTTTCACCATGTTGGCCAGACTGTTCTGGAACACCTGACCTCAGGCGATCCACCTGCCTCAACCTCCCAAAGTGCTGGGATTATAGTCGTGAGCCACCGTGTCCAGCCAGGATTGAAACTTTTTAGTCATCTTTGGCTCTTCTATCTTGCTCTCCATACCATGTAGATTCTTTCATAATGTCTCATTTCTGGTCATCTCTCTCTTTTAATTTTCATTGCCATCATTCTTATTCAGATTTATCTTGTATTAGACCCTGATTATTTTAGGAGTCTCTTCACTGAGTTTTTGCCACTGATGTTGTCCCCTTTCCATCTATCCTGTGTCATCACCTTCATCTTCCCCAAACATTATTTTACCATATTATTCATTCTCTTGCTCCAAAACCTTCAAAGACACTTCTAGTTACTTTCCACAAACTTAAAGTAACAATAGCTGAATGCTTACCATTTGCCCAACATTTTTGTATGCATTGTTTTGTTTAATCTTTACAACAGCTCTATGAGAATATTACCCCAGTTGTGAGGAAATTATGATCTATGGAGATTAAAACTTGATTAAGGGCACACAGGCAGATTTGTACTCAAGTCTCTCAGACTCCAAAGCCCATGATGAAGAATTTTGGTTGAAAAGATGGGCTCTGGTTTTAAATCTCAACTCTCCATTTACCAGTGAATAAAGTACCTATTTATAGCATTATTTTAAGGATTAAATGAGATAACATGTGCCTGGCACATGTAAGTCCCCCATAAGGGTTAATTGTTATTAATGATACGTACAGATAACTGAATCACTACCCCTAATTTGTCCCAATACTCATCATCTCCCAATAAGAGTTCCACAGATGTTGACTTTCTTGTTTCCAAGATTTGGCCCATGTTGATTTCATAACCTGGAATGCCTCTCCTTCCTTCCACCTATCTAAATCATTTCCTTTATTTAAGCTCAGATCCTACGTACATGAAGTCTTCCCACTGTTCTCTCCTTCTTTTAAAAACTTAATGGCTAAGGCACTTTCTTGGTAACTTACAAATTTGACCTCTGTTCCTAGTTTTTCACATGTACTTCTTTCCCAAATTAAAATGTAAGCTTCTTGAGGGTAAAAGCTCATTTACTGGGATTAAGCATTAAGTATACATTTTCTGACTGGTCGGTCATTCATTGGATACATTTGGAGAGCAGTATATCATAGTAGTCACAATGTTTGGATCCTGGAGCTAAACAGGCTGGGTTAAGTACTGCCACTTACTAGCTTTGTGATTCTGGAAAAGTCATTGAAGCTCCATGGCCTCAGTTGATCCAGTAAAATGGGGATAATGATAGTACCTATTACTCATAAAGTGCCTAAGGTAGTACCTGGCACATAGAAAGTTATATAAGCATTATCTATTATTAAAAAGATACTCTGTGCACACTATGAACCATGAAAAAAAAAAGTATTATAGGAGATACAGAGTGAGATTCATGGTGTCTGTCATCAGAAAGTTTAGATCATCCTTTTCCCCATCTAAGGGTTCCCTTCCTGGTTATGGTAGAGATTAGGAAATTAACAAAGTATGGAATGGTGAGTTAGAAGATCTATAGAGAGAGGCTAACTCCTTGCTGTCTTTTGGGGGATCGCAAGGGAATTACCATTTGGCTCTGAACTATTTTGTACTTCTCAGACGTAGACCCTATAAAGGAGAAGATAGTGAAGAACATGAAGCTGAACTTTGGGCCCCAACACCCAGCAGCCCATGGTGTCCTGCGACTAGTGATGGAATTGAGTGGGGAGAATGTGCGGAAGTGTGATCCTCACATCGGGCTCTTGCACCGAGGCACTGAGAAGCTCATTGAATACAAGACCTATCTTCAGGTGTGGGAGCGAACAGGGGCCTTTTGGTGGGATTTCAGGTTGCTTTAATCTGGGCTTTGCCAGTTTGCTGCCCTTAAAATCTGAGGGGAGGAGGGTGTTGAGAGGAGTAACCCGTTGAAGTTATTAGGACACTCTTGGTTGGTTGGGTAGAGGGAAGTGGCAGGGGATGCTTGAGTCATTAGGATTTGGTTTATTCAGTAGCAGTCCTTTGAAGCTGGAACTACAGTCAGCCTTTCTCTGGCTTACTTTTTGGCTGGCCCCTTTGCCATTACTTGAGTGCCTCAGTTTCCCTGTTACTATGTTATACTAGTGCGTCAAAGCCAGTGTCCCTAGGGACAGAGAAAGAGGAAAGAGACGTCAGCTCGCCAAAATGAACAGCTGATTCTTGTATCTTCCAGCTGTCTACGTTTGTTTTCAAAACATTCAGTGATTCAGAGCAAGTGAGAGGGGGTTTATGACAGAGTTTGCCATTTTTAGGAGAACTTTATGACCCAAATGATGAGGGTCAGATTTGAAGGAGCTGGATCTCTAATAGGAATCTGAAGTTTTTTTCTCACTGTCATGAAGAAAGTTCCTGATAACAGGATGGTAGGGTTAGGATTTAGATCCAGCGCAGTCTCGGGGTGTGCGACAACTGGAATGCAATTCCCCAAGAGAGTCTTGGCAATGACAGTTTCTGGTCCCGGAGTCTGTGGGTTAAGCCCTGCAGCATTAGCCTCCGTCACAGTGACATCAGAATAAGAACAGGCTGTCCCAACTAGTAGCATCTTAGCTCCACCCTCTTCCTGGAAGCTGAAGGTAGGTCAACAGACAGCTAGGACTTAGCTTTTCACACTCAGGAGGAAAGACCATTTCTACCTGGTGCTCTGTCTTCCTTAAATACCTCACTCTGTCCGGGCGTGGTGGCTCATACCTGTAATCCCAGCACTTTGGGCGGCAGAGATGGGTGGATCACTTGAGATCTAGGAGTTCTGAGACCAACCTGGCCAACAGGGTGAAACCCCATCTTTACTAAAAATACAAAAATTGCCCAGGCATGGTGGCACACACCTGTAGTCCCAGCTACTTGAGAGGCTTAGGCAGAAGAATCACTTGAACCCAGGAGGCAGAGGTTGCAGTGAGCCAAGATCGTACCATTGCACTCCAGTGCCTGGGTGACAGAGCAAGACTCTGACTAAAGAAAAAAAAAAAATGAAACAAAAGAAAAACCCTCCTTGATACTCCTTTTTTTTTTTTTTTTTTTGAGTTGGAATCTCACTCTGTTGCCCAGACTGGAGTTCAATGGTGCAATCTTGGCTCACTGCAACCTCCACCTCCCAGATTCAAGGGATTCTCCTGTCTCAGCCTCCCGAGTAGCTGGGATTACAGGTGCACACCACCATGCCCAGCTAATTTTTTTTGTATTTTTAGTAAATATGGGGTTTTACCATGTTCCCCAGGCTGGTCTTGAGCTCCTGAGCTCAGACAATCCACCCACCTCGGCCTCCCAAATTGCTAGGATTATAGGTGTGAGCCACCACACCTGGCCATGATACTACTAAGATAGCCTTTCTCCTTCAGTATCTCAGGGTTTTTTTTTTTTTTTTTTTTTTTTTTCATTTTCCACACTAGTTTGTGAAAGGAAGTAAAGGAAAAATTAATTTATTTAAAAAATAAAAGTATCTCAGGTTTTTTGTTTGTTTGTTTTGTTTTTGTTTTTTGAGAACGGAGTTTTGCTTTTGCTGCCCAGGCTGGAGTGCAATGGCACAATCTTGGCTCACTGCAATCTCCACCTCCAGGGTTCAAGCATTCTCCTGCCTCAGCCTCCCACGTAGCTGAGATTACAGCCATGTGCCACCAGGCCGACTAATTTTGTATTTTTAGTAGAGATGGGGTTTCTCCATGTTGGTCAGGCTGGTCTCAAACTCCCGACCTCTGGTAACCCGCTAGCCTCGGCCTCCCAAAGTGCTGGGATTACAGGCGTGAGCCACCTGCCCTGCCGAGGACTCTTGACAGTGGTGTCCTGGTGCTAGCTCATTCTGGCTTGCAAGAGTGCAGTTGTTAAATTTTCAGGAATTTTGTGAGCCACTTATTAGAAATTAACTTATATAGGCTTATGATTTAATACATTATATTAAAAGCAAAGATAAGATTAAATATTCAAAGCTTATCACTTCATTATTCTACCACATTTTACTATGCTCTGCCCTTGAGGTATTTGCTTTCATTGTGTCTGTATGGTGGAAATACTGTATAATGGTGTGTTACTCTTCCCAATGCTGCATTCAGTTACGTGGTATTGGTAACTTAAAACTGGCCATTGTGGGAATATTTTTACCACGGAAATTGGCAAACACGGCAAATCAGAGTCCTGCGTTACTCGGAGAGCCCATTTTTAAACATTTACCAGCATACTACTGGTTTTTGGGTGTTTTTTTTTTTTTTTTTTTTTTTAGAGACAGGGTTTCACCATTCTGGCCAGGCTGGTCTTGAACTCCTGACCTCAGGTGATCCGCCTGCCTTGGCCTCCCAAAGTGCTGGGATTACAGGCATGAGCCACTGTGCCCAGCTTTGGGATATTTTATCCTGCCTTGTTAGGGCTCCTGAAACTAGAAAGGCCTATGCAGCATCAACTTCTGATGCCCACTGAGAGCAAGGCTTCAGGCAGCCAGACTGGGCTCCTAAGCCTGTTAGATGTGACCCACATTCCTCTGTCTTCCCAGGCCCTTCCATACTTTGACCGGCTAGACTATGTGTCCATGATGTGTAATGAACAGGCCTATTCTCTAGCTGTGGAGAAGTTACTAAACATCCGGCCTCCTCTCCGGGCACAGTGGATCCGAGGTATGCCCCCCGCCCCCCGGCTTCTTCTGCACCCCACTGTCCCACTGTGAGCGTAGCACAGTGCCTTTTCCACCCCTTCCCCGCTGAACACAAGCTTAGTGTTCACACCCCGGGCTCTGCCCAGACCACCTCTCTGTCAGCCTCAGCGCTTGGCTCCTGTATCTTTTCTTCTCCTTGTCTTCACCTCTCCACAGTGCTGTTTGGAGAAATCACACGACTGATGAACCATGTCATGGCTGTGACTACGCATGCCCTGGACATTGGGGCCATGACCCCTTTCTTCTGGCTGTTTGAAGAAAGGGAGAAGGTAAGAGAGGGAGGAAAGGATAGGCATAGGGAAGGAAGTCCAGGCAGTAGAGAAGGTATGAAGGAGATAGGAGACTAAAAGAAAGGGAACATGGGAGAACATTTAGAGGGAGAAGGTCTGTTTAACTTGGTTTGTATTTGCAGAAGCCATGTCATGAGGGGGTGGTTGGGAACAGGAAGGCAGAAGGTTGGGGAGTAGACCGCCATGGGACCTGGGGGCCTGGGACGTTGACACTAATTCTCAGCATGTCCTATCAAGATGTTTGAGTTCTACGAGCGAGTGTCTGGAGCCCGAATGCATGCTGCTTATGTCCGGCCAGGAGGGGTGCACCAGGTGAGCAGATCCGCCGCTGCCCCAGACCTCCAGCCCAGGCCTGTTTTCCCTGTGGCCACTGGAGGGCAGTGCTGGCTGATGAAAATGCCAACCCTGTAGCCCTGCGGGAGGGTGTGCTGAGCCGGCTTTCCTTCCTTGGAGGCTATGCAGCACTCAATACCACTTCCATTTGGCTTCTAGGACCTACCCCTGGGGCTTATGGATGATATTTATGAGTTTTCTAAGAACTTCTCTCTTCGGCTTGATGAGTTGGAGGAGGTAAGCTAGGAGTCAATGGGAAAAGTCTCTTTCCCCCACAAGAAGGGCTTGCAGGGCTTTATTCCCCAGTTGTAGAGAAATACAGAGGTATCTGAAGAGTGTGAGGAAGAGTATTAACACCAGTTTTCTCAATCAATAGTTGCTGACCAACAACAGGATCTGGAAAAATCGGACAGTTGACATTGGGGTTGTAACAGCAGAAGAGGCACTTAACTATGGTTTTAGGTGAGGGGAATACAGCTTCCCTCCTTAGGAATGGGATGGGAGTGGGGGAGTTCCAGCCTACTATCTTGTCTTTTAAGACTTGTTGGCACCCTCCTAGTCGTACCCTGAATATGAAGGGGAAACAAGGGAGGCTGAGGAAGAATGAGCCTCTATACTTGGTTTGTGGAGAGTGGTCCTTATTCCCATTGTGCTCTCCACAGTGGAGTGATGCTTCGGGGCTCAGGCATCCAGTGGGACCTGCGGAAGACCCAGCCCTATGATGTTTACGACCAGGTTGAGTTTGATGTTCCTATTGGTTCTCACGGGGACTGCTATGATAGGTAAGGCCCCAATCCTTTCTTGGCTGATTGTCCAGCTAGTTTCTGTTGCCTCACTCTTCTCTTTGCCACTTCCTTCTTTATTCTGCATCTCAGTATCTGTGGGAGCTTATGTGTGTCTTAAACCAAGTTGCTGTCAAAGCACTTTCACATACATGGCATTTTTTTTTTTTTGAGATGGAGTTTCACTCTTGTTTCCCAGGCTGGAGTGCAATGGGGTGATCTCAGCTCACCACCACCTTCCCTTTCTGGGTTCAAGCAATTCTCCTGTCTCAACCTCCTGAGTAGCTGGGGCTACAGGCATGTGCCACCATGCCCGGCTACTTTTGTATTTTTAGTAGAGATAGTGTTTCTCCATGTTGGTCAGCCTGGTCTTGAACTCCTGACCTCAGGTGATCTGCCTGCCTCAACCTCTGAAAGTGCTGGCATTACAGGAGTGAGCCACCTTGCCTGGCCTATGACATCTTATTTTATCTTTACATTATCCTTGTCTTAGATGGAGCTAGCTTTGGCTGTATTTTATAACTGAGAAAGCTGAGGCATAAAAGTAAGGGATTAGCTGGAATTTTTCTGCAGAAGTGGTTGAGACTGGAATCCTCCTTATCCAGTGTTCTTTCTACCAGATTTTTAGCTTCAAATTCTCCTCGTGGGCCAGCACGGTGGCTCATACCTGTAATCCCAGCACTTTGGGAGGTGAAGGCAGGCAGATCACTCGAGGTCAGGAATTCAAGACCAGCCTGGCCAACATGGTGAAATCCCATCTCTACTAAAAATACAAAAAATTAGCCAGGTATGGTGACACATGTTTGTAGTTCCAGCTAGTTGGGAGGCTGAGACAGGTGAATCACTTAAACCCAGCGGGTGGAGGTTGGAGTGAGCTGAGATCGCACCACAGCACTACAGCCTGGGCGACAGATGGAGACTCCATCCCCCCCCCAAAAAAACACACAACAATTTCTCCTTCTGTTTACTGACCCTGAGTCAGATTTGCTGGTGTGTATTTTTTGTCTATTTTTTTTTTTAATGGTAGCTACTGTGTATTTTCGTTGTCCATTTGACTCTCACCCATTCTGTCATCTAAAAAGTGTGTAAGGGGGTAATTAAAGAAATAAATAGTATAGGCCATGTTCTGAGAAAATGAGAGGGTTTGGGGAAGCACCCAAGAGTAGAAGCAAAAGATTACAGGGGGCTGGGCCTGGTGGCTCATGTCTATAATCGCAGCACACTTTGAGGGGCCAAAGCAGGCTGTCGCTTGAGCTCAGGAGCTGGAGATGAGCCTGGGCAACAAGGTGAAACCTTATCTCTACAAAAAATAGTTGGACGTGGTAGTGCACACCTATAATCCTTGCTACTTTGGAGACTGAGATGGGAGAATCACTTGAGTCCAGGAGTTCAAGGCTGCAGTGAACTGTGTAACCCTAACTCAAAAAAAAAAAAAAAAAAATAGAATACAGGGTTTATATGGGTGGCCAAGCCAAGCAGAGATGCTATACTTGGAGAAAAGATTGGGGAAAGGTGACCTAACCCTTTTGAGGTTGGCCAGAGGGCATCCTTCCCAGCCCATACCTGCTCCTCTGACTGTTCTTCTGTTGCTCTGTCTTACCTACTTCAGGTACTTGTGCCGGGTGGAGGAGATGCGCCAGTCCCTGAGAATTATTGTACAGTGTCTAAACAAGATGCCTCCTGGAGAGATCAAGGTTGATGATGCCAAAGTGTCTCCACCTAAGCGAGCAGAGATGAAGGTTGGCTGCAGGGAGGGGGAAAGTGTGGGGTATTGGAAAGGGGCCAGTGGCTGGGGAGGAGTATCCTTGGATTAAATCCTACCTTTCGGTTTTCTTTCTTTGTTTCTTTTTTCTTCTGAGACAGATTTTCATTCTTATTGCCCAGGCTGGAGTGCAATAGTGCAGTCTTGGCTCACTGCCATCTCTGGCTCCCAGGTTCAAGTGATTCTTCTGCTTCAGCCTCCCAAGTAGCTGGGATTACAGGCATGCGCCACCATGCCCAGCTAATTTATTCAGTAGAGACAGGGTTTCACCATGTTGGTCAGGCTGGTCTCGAACTCCTGACCTCAGGTGATCCACCTGCCTTGGCCTCCCAAAGTGCTGGGATTACAGGTGTGAGCCACCACGCACAGCCCAGTTTTCTTTTTATAGAGAGTTCACTGTATAAGAGATTTTTAATCTCCCATAGCTCTCTTGTTTTATTCTGTATCCTCTCTGCTTACTGACTTACATGCGGATTTAGTCTACCTGAGAGTGGAGATTATTTTCTGTGCTGGGGGAAGGTCTAGGAGACAGAGTTTGGATTTGGTTTATTGATGCTCCCTTTTTCCTCTCTTCAGACTTCCATGGAGTCACTGATTCATCACTTTAAGTTGTATACAGAGGGCTACCAAGTTCCTCCAGGAGCCACGTATACTGCCATTGAGGCTCCCAAGGTGAGGAGAGGAGGGGAAGGAAAAGACCATATGTGGAGCAGGTAGCTAAAGATAGATGTTTAACAAAATGCTCGTTCATCAGTGAGAGAGAAAACAGCAGGATGAATAGGGTTTTCCTTGGCAGAGAAAAGTACTCTTCCTGTTAATAGGGACACCCAACCTTCTTCCTTGAACAGGGAGAGTTTGGAGTGTACTTGGTATCTGATGGTAGCAGCCGCCCTTATCGATGCAAGATCAAGGCTCCTGGTTTTGCCCATCTGGTAAGAATCAATCCCAGCAACTTTAACTCCAATGAATTAACCCAGTAATTTACTGAACTTGCTTGAGTTTTTTATGAACTCTTCTTTTTCCTCCCACCTTGCAAATCTTACCTAACTGTTGCCATCTCAATCTCCCCAGGCCGCTTTGGACAGGATGTCTAAGGGACACATGTTGGCAGATGTCGTTGCCATCATAGGTATGAGGCCTATCGTGTAATAGAGGTATCCTAGGCAAAGGAGTTGGGGACGCCCACTGGGCACAGAAGCAGAACGCTTCGTGCTCACTGTGGGTCATGGGCATAGACCCAAGTCCACAGTCTCTTGAGCACAGTAATGAGTTCTGGATCTTTGGTAAAACCACTGTTTGTTTTGCCTCACAACATCACTTTTCTCCTCCATCCTCTCACCTCTAGGTACCCAAGATATTGTGTTTGGAGAAATAGACCGGTGAGCGGGGGAGCAGTGTTTGATCCTCCCTGCCTGTTAGCTGCTTCTGTGGAGCCTGTCCCTCGCTGGAAATGGGCCTCTGTGGGTGTGGGTGTGTGTGTGTGTGTGTGTGTGTGTGTTTGCACGTTCATGTACACTTGGCTGTCAGGCTTTCTGTGCATGTACTAAAAAAAGAGAAATTATAATAAATTAGCCGCCTTGCGGCCCCTAGGCCTAAACTTCTGGTATGTCTTTCTCAGTATCTCAGTGTCCTTCACCTTGACTGTAACCCTGAGAGTGCTCATTAGCCCGCCATTCCTGTTAGAGTCAGTTGATCTTTGCAATTTTTCCTGCTCGTCTCCACCCCCTTCTCTGACTCTTGTCCTTTCCACTTCTCCATTCCCCGTTTCCTCTTTCCCGTCAGTTCCCCTCCTGCTCAGACCTTCTCAGTGCTCACATAAATTGGTAAGCCATTCAAATCAAGACTTGGGGCAAGGTTCCCGTAGGGAGGGAAAGGGCTATAATGGGGTCTGAGGGAATGTCGACGCATAGTTTAGCATAGATCCATTTCTGAACCAGGCGGAGTGGAAAATGGCAGATATAGACAGCCTTTCCCGAGCGTGAGAGTCTCCTCATTCTCTGGGTTAGGAATTGGTCATTAAAGGGCTGAGGCTTAAGAGCCCAGATCTCCCAGTTCCCTTAGTTGGCCCTTCCGGAGCCGCCCGGTCTCTTGTGCAGGAAAGGGAAGGGGCCAAAGTGTGGGGGAAGGCGTGGCAGGAAGGAGGGTACTCTGTGGTCAGGGAACTGCTCGCTGAGCACAGCTGCACGGTGCTGTCAGAGTGGCCGATCCCCAGCCCAAGATGATTCCAGCAGTGGTCTTGCTCTTACTCCTTTTGGTTGAACAAGCAGGTAAGACGGTTCGTGTGGGATACTGCAAGCTGGCTCCAGGGTGGAAATCCAGAGCATGGGTCTGAGGGCTGAGTCAAACACGCATGAAGGAAGTCTTGACAGTGGGCAGGTGGGCATAGGGAGACCCTGAGGCTGGTTCTATCTATCCCAGACTCAGGGCACCAGACTCATAGTTCCCTTTCTTGTTGCCGCCTTACCTCATCCCAGACTTCTTTGTTCTTGTATTAATATTATTATTTTGGAAACAGTCTCGCTGTGTCACCCAGGCTGGAGTGCAGTGCCGTGATCTCAGCTCACTGCAACCTCTACCTCCTGGGTTCAAGCAATTCTCCTGCCTCAGACTTCAGAGTAGCTGGGATACAGGCGCCAGCCACCATGCCCCGCTAAGTCTGGTATTTTTAGTAGAAATGGCTTTTCACCATGTTGACCAGGCTGGTCTCGAACTTCTGATTCAAATGATCCACCCCCCTCGACCTCTCAAAGTCCTGGGATTACAGGTGTGGGCCACTGTGCCCAGCTATTATTATTATTTTAAAAACACAGGTCTTGCTACGTTGGCCACATTGGTCTTGAACTCCTGGCCTCGAGCAGTCCTCCCACTTTGGCCTCCGAAAGTGCTACTGTTCCTGGCTGACTTTTTTCATGGTTTATAGAAAGTGGCAGGGGAAGGGTCTGGTTGTATGGCATGAAGAAGTGGTCTGGTGAAAAGCTTCATTCCCCGTGATCAGCATTTCCCATGGGGTGCCTTTGGTCTTGTCTGCTGGGATCTGATCTCTAGCTGGTTTAATATACAAAGCACCCTGGGTGCCTGTAATACCAGCTATTCAGGAGGCTGAGGCCGAAGAATCATTTGAACCCAGGAAATGGAGGTTGCAGTGAGCCAAGATCGTGCCATTGCACTCTAGCTTGGGTGACTGAACGAGACTCGGTCTCAAAAAATATGTGTCTATATATCTGTATACAGATACAGATATATACAGAACCCTTTAGGAAGGTAAGGATCTGTCCTTGTTCTTGGGAGTGAGGCAAGGATACAGCTGAGACAAACAGACGTGATTGCTGTTTCTGTGGATCATTGCCAATGCACCATTCTGTCAGCAGTTGATATGAGGGTGGGCAGCATGAGATGCCCAGTTCCAGGGACCTGAGCGTCAGCTGAGAAACAGAGGCAGAAATAGGAAAGTCTCTGCAGCTTGAAGGCTCCAGTCACTCTATGTAAGAATTCTCACTTCTCGTTCACTCTGGGTTGTCTGCTGGATTGGTGTGTGTGTGTGTGTGTGTGTTGGTGGCAGCTGGGTGTCAGGGAGGAGGAGGTCAGTAAACTTCTGGGAAACGGGGGAAATTGAAAGAAAATGACTGGGGAGGAATTCCAGCAGCCTATCTGAGAAGGTGGGAGTGAGTATTAAGTTAGCCCCTGGTCTGCTGCCTTGGGATGAAGAAGGAAGAGGGTTGCTGAGGCACAAAGGCAAGCATGGGCTTTGGAGGCAGAAAACCTGCGTTTGAGTTCCAGCTCTGTCACTTAACTCTGGCTCTGAGTGAGTTACTTAGCTTTTCCGAGCCTTGGTTTCGTCATCCATAAAATGGTAATGATGATGTTTCCCTCATAGGGCAGTTTTAAGATTTGTGCAATATCGTGCGTGTGAAAGAGTGTTGCAGAAGAAAGAGTTCTTGGCCGATGTCAGCATTTGACCGACATTGGTCACATGTACCCTACTGGTCCTCTGATAGGGGGTGAGAGTAGTCTCTGGAATCCAGACTTGATTTGATTTTTTAAATTGCACAAAACTTCCCCTCTCAGAGGCCCAGAGAGTGAGTAATAGGGCAGAGTAGCAGGAGCTGGAATCCATATAGCTTGTGATCATTCCCCGAGCCTTGTGTGCAGGGCCAAAGCTAGCTATAAGGCCTGGGAAAAACACACGCTTTTTTTTTTTTTTTTTTTTTTTTTTTAACATATTTAAATATCTTGTGGTGGGACACAAAGCAATAAGGCTGAGGCTAGGGGATGACTCGTAATAGAGTAATTGCCTTCTCTCCCTTCCGCAGCTCACATCCTTCCTGTCCAGCCCTCAGCCACAGGTCACAGGACTTAGTAGAGACACTTCTGTGGTTTCTTCGCTGAAATTTGCCACTGCCCCTCCCTGCCACTGCCCCTCTCAGATGAGATTTTAGTTTCAGTCCAGTGGACTCAGATGGGTCCCTTGAGGTGCATAAAGTGCTCAATGGTGCCTGAAGAACCCACAGTGCTAAAAAGTAAAGGTTGAAAGGTTGGGGGGCTGAGGGGGAAGTCCTCAATTATTAGCAGATGTTAAGTCCCATCTCAGCAGAACCCTCATGCTTCCTATCCTAGCCCTGCCCTACGATAGAGGAGAAGAGGGAAAGGTAAGAGCAGGGGGAGTCCAGAGAGAAATAAAATGTCTTCCCTTAGAGGGATCCCCTCCAGGCCCTATCCTACCTCCCAGAACCCCTTCCCTTCTCCCCTCTGAGCACCAGATCCTCCCTGATGCCCCTGACCCCATGGGCACCTTTATCCCCTCAGCGGCCCTGGGAGAGCCTCAGCTCTGCTACATCCTGGATGCCATCCTGTTTCTGTATGGAATTGTCCTCACCCTCCTCTACTGCCGACTGAAGGTAGTGCGTGAGGAGGGGGCGGGCGGTGCGGTCAGCACTGGAAGAGGAAGTGGGAAAGTGGGAGGGGGCAGCGGCAAGGATTCAAAGAGAGGGGACAGAAGGGGAGCCCCACAAAGTTTGGAGGGAAGGGGATGGGCCACTAACTTCCCCTTTACTGATAACCTTTCCCCCATTCCAGATCCAGGTGCGAAAGGCAGCGGTAACCAGCTATGAGGTATGGACCCTCCCACACCTGGTGTCAACAACTTTTCAGACCCTCAGCCCTTCTGGGGCTCTAGCCTGGGGGAGCATGCCTCTCAGGTGCTGATCTGCATAAACCTCAGAGGCCTCCCTCCCACCTTACCTAGCCAAGCCGTGAGTGAAATGTTTGGCAGGTGACAGGGAAGAATCAAGCACAGAGTGACGAGGGATGTGTGAGAGACTTGGGTGTGGTACCTCGGGTGTATGTGTGTGCCTACAGCCATGTGGGCAAATGTGTATCCGTGGCCCAGAGCATCCATGTGAGTGCCCTCTAGCCCAAGTCGGCTGGCTGCCCGCCCCCCGCCCCCACACACACCATGCTTCCCTGAGTGAGGAAGATGCTGAGGGGCCCTGGATGTGTGGGTTTCTAATGCTTTGCTTCTTTTGTCTCTGCAGAAATCAGATGGTGTTTACACGGTAAGTGTCCCTGCCTCCCCATCCGGAGAAGTCAGCACGAGAGGGTGGGATTTTGAGCAACTTTTGGAAGGGGCGGGGCCTGTGGAAGTGGGCGGGGCCTCTGGTGGGCTCCAGCGCCTGATCATCTTTTGACTCCCACCTCCAGGGCCTGAGCACCAGAAACCAGGAGACTTACGAGACTCTGAAGCATGAGAAACCACCACAGTAGCTTTAGAACGCATGCGGTCATATTCTTCGGCTTCTTCTTCTTCCAGCCCTCATGGTTGGCATCACATATACCTGCATGCCATTAACGCCAGCTGGCCCTACCCCTACCCCTATAATAATCCTGTGCCCCCAAATTAATATACACCAGTGGTTCCTCCTCCCTGTTTTGTTTGTTTGTTTTTGAGATGGAGTTTCGCTCTTGTTGCCTGGGCTGGAGTGCAGTGGCTCCATCTTGGCTCACCGCAACCTCTGCCTCCTGGGTTCGAGCGATTCTCCTGCCTTGCCTCCCGAGTAGCTTGGATTACAGGCATGTGCCACCAAGCCCGGCTAATTTTTTTTTTTCTTTCTTTCTTTTTTTTTTTTTGTATATCTAGTAGAGACAGGGTTTCTCCATGTTGGTGTTGGTCAGGCTGGTCTTGAATTCCTGACCTCAAGTGATCCGCCCGCTTCGGCCTCCTCTGAAGTGCTGGGATTACAGGCATGAGCCACCACAACGGCAATCCTTCTCATTTGTTAAAGACATACTCAGATGCTATTCACAGATGTTTATATTCTAGTCTCACTCTCTTGTCCCACCCTTCTTCTCTTCCCCATCCCCAACTCCAGCTAAAATATAGGGAGGGAGAATCCCCAATAAAGCTGCCACAGACTGGACTCCATTCATTCATTTATCATATATTTATTCAGTCTCTACTAAGCACTAGATACAGTTTTTCAATTCCAGAACTCACAGTCGAACGGACTTCAGGGCTGTTTTACTCAATGGAGGGATGAACACTGACTGGGCTGGTGGGGAGATAAAACCTTTGACCTCTAGGTGCTCTGAGGACAGAGCTGG